ATTTAACCCCAGGATTCTAGGGGGGGGTAAATAACCCCAATAACCCCCCTTATATCCGCCACTGGTTTCATCCTCTCTCAGTTTGACTTCGGCCTCTAACTTCATCCTTCTCTTCTCATTCTTTTGTTCCTCTTTGGCGAGGTCGTCTTTCCTTTTAAGCTGTTTTTCTAACATGGTCGCCATTTTTAATTCTTTGTTTGCTTCTATCTTTACAATTTCAAGCTTGTTTTCAAAATTTTCTTGATTTCTAAAAAGTTTTGAGACCAAGTCGAAGCCTTTTTCAAGAATGAATTTCAACCCCATCATATCTGAAAAATATCATAAAACATATATTTGAAATGAATGTACACATTATTAATTATTTTTGTGGACTTTGAAATTGACAGGCGATTTAAATTTTTCAAAAAATATAAAAATCTAAAAAAATAGCAATTTTATTTCAAAAGATTTAAGAATATTTCCTTTTTATGAAAAACAATTATTTCCTTATTTGTACACAACCTTAAAATACGAAAACATTTATTACAAGCTTGAAAGATAAACCCTGTTACGCGACGGTTTCGTCATTTTTTCCCTCGCCCCTGAGTTCTTCACGTAAAGGATGTAAAGCCCCTGAAGTCGAAGGGGGGGGGGACAAGTCTGTAGTGCTGCAGCAAAACCAGTTTTGATTTGTAAACTAGGTTTTACATTTATACTTTAAGGGCAGTTACTTGTCAGTTATATTTGATATTTAAACATAGAGTTACGGCACATTAAGATTGAACCCATTTTTTTATTATCCAGAGAAACTGTTACAATCGAGGAGAGACCCTAAAAGAAGTAGAGTTGTATCAAAGGGAGTCTGAGAAATAATGATGGTTGCGATCACCCTATAGCAGATCATGACAAGGTTCAATACACTATAGGATAGTTTAAGTGAGTAGATCAGCTCGCGAAACAAGTCCAATGAAGAATTAAGAATAAAAAATGGAAGCAATGAAAATATTGTTTGAAAAGAACCTTTTATATAATAAAAAATAGTAAAAATTGTTTTCATTAACGTTTAAAAAGACATAATTTATGCATATTCAGACTTCACAAATATAAAAGTATAATTCCAAATTCTTACTATTAAGGTCTTCTGAAGTAAAACAAGAAACGTTAAAAAAACTAAATTTTTTCTTGTAAACAAATTAGAATGGATTCAAAATATTAACCAAAATTGAATTAACCTTAAAATACAAAAAAAATCTCCAAGTAGTTTGCTAGGTTGGTTTAGAACTCTTTCTTAACCATTAGTCCAGAATCCATTGTTAAACTTGAGTTGGAGTTCACCAGAATGCTCTGAATATGTTGTTCCTGTAAAAGAAGGTTTTAAAGGGACTGTAAACGTATTTTTAAGTTTCCCTATGGATGTAAAAATGGAAACGCCTGATTTACAACGATACCCTTGATTCCTTTATCTGATCAATAGTGTGGAAGACACTGTTGTTTTATAGGTTTAAAAATGTTTAATTCTGATATTTCCTATATGCTTACTTGCAACGGAAATGCGCAAGTCGGTTTTTTAAAGAAACTACTTTTAAAAATAATCAGTTTTTAAAATTATAAAAATTGATCTTTAATTTATACTTGATCAGACAAAGCTTTACAGGGTACCGTTGTGAATAGAGCAAACCCGTCTTTGAAATTACACTAACAATCACTTTAAGAAACGGATTTACTTGCCATAAATTTTTTTTAAAATACTTTGAATCCAGATTAAATAAAAGCAAGAATTAGTTGAACCACTTCTCTTGAAGACACCTGGTCAAGCTGAAGAAAAGAAGTTCAACTATGTCTCGCTTTTGATTTAATCTGCAGGCCTTAAATATTTGCTGTAGATACACTCTCAGATTGCAAAAATATAAGAATTAAGTAAATATAAAATTTGAGTTTTCGGCAAATGTTCAGTTTCCTAGTAAGAAATTTTGATATTGTATCTGAAAATCCAGTGAGAACCAGAAAACCAGAGGAAAAATACATTGAAACAATCTTTTTTGTCTTTTTTTGTTGTTGCAAAGCAAATAGTTTTGCAAACAACTTATTGGATAACTTGAGTCTGTGTAGTGTATACTCTTCAAAAATGCTACTTCCCATGTTCACTGGACTATTCAAAGTCATAACTTGAGTTTAAAGTCGTCTTCCTATTCCAGAGTTTTCTGATTATTACTGGAAATACAAAAATGGATGTGAAAAATAAGTTTATTTTATTTATTTACTAATGTGATACAATTAAAAACTTTACAATTTTTAAACTTCCTGGATCCGCGATTCCGAATTTTTCTACTGATCCGGATTCAGGGCGGGATCATTTTACTGATCCGGATTTAGGGTCGGATCATAATCCGGATCCTCTTCGAGCTGTATTAAAGAAAGTGTTCACTGAAGATAACACTGGTGGTTTTTTTTACAGTTCTCTGATTACTATAATTGCTTGCCATCCATGTTATTTAAATAAACATATTTAAGTAGACATTTTACTTTTGCAAGTGCCAAATAGAAAAGCCAGCCCAAAAGTTTCAACTTTTATCTTTGAGATTTCAATTAATTAGTTTCCACCATGAAGTTTTTAGTGGGGAAAGATTTTATAATATATTTGGTGTGTGAAAAACTTAATAAGCTGGCAGTGGATACTGATCCATGGATCAAGAATCCAGATCCGGATGAAATTATCTCCATTCCAATGGATTCCGAAGCCCTGCTTTAATCTAAATCAATTCCTACCTCTTGTTTAAGTAAGCCCTCCCTCTGCTGGTGCATGAGGAAGATGTAGTAGGATATGAGCAGAGTGCAACAAACCATCCCAATTAACAACAAGGCAACTATAAAAATGAGGGAACACTGTTCTTTTCAGAAAAGTAATTTCAAGTGACCCTACATGCAAATATGGCAATGTTTGATTCACAACGGTACCCTTGACATTTTTTAACGGGATAGTAATGGGAAAATAACCTGTCATTTTCTAGGCTTAGTCGTGTTTGATTTTGGCAATTCCTTTATTTAACTAGGCATACCTTCCTCAGGCCCATTTGAGGCCTTAGGCTTGATCAGTTTTGCAAGTTTGACTTCTATTTTATACATAGTGTCCCACAAAACATGGACAGTAACAAGAAAGGTCGTCTTTGATTTTTAGATAATTTGCTGCTTTTATTTGTTAGCATAACTTAAGAAGTAAATGTGTTATTAATGACTAAATAACCCCTAGTCCTGTCATGTTTCGTAGGCCACCCTGTATTGAAAAACACCAAGACCAAAATTTGTTTAGAACATATAAATTCATTCCTTTAAGTGTGAAACGTTTAATTTCATCATCTCTCAGTTTGACTTCGGCCTCTAACTTCATCCTTCTCTTCTCATTCTTTTGTTCCTCTTTGGCGAGGTCGTCTTTCCTTTTCAGCTGTTCTTCTAACATTGTCGCCATTTTTAATTCTTTGCTTGCTTCGATCTTTACAATTTCAAGCTTGTTTTCTTCTTTAGCTTTCTCGATTTTGAATTCGGTTTCAAGAGTTGCTTTTGTGAGATTAAATTCATTTCGGACCTATAATATTATAGTAATATAGATAAATTAGTGCTAGTCTCTGTTTAACCGATCCTACACGGTGTCCCACAAAACATGACAGTAGAAAGACGAACTGAAGGTCGTCTTAGATCTTTGAAATAATTTGCGGCATTCATTCGTCTAATTCAAAAGTATAATTCTAAAGGTAATGTAAAAAAATAGTCCTAGTCTGGGCATTTCTAAAATTTGGTCTGCCTGTTTTTTGCTTTCAAAATCGCCGGAGGCAGACGACATTTTGGAAATGGATGCATTTTGTGGTTATAATTGAAATAATCTTACACTTGCAGTGAGAGTGGTTGATGACCCATTACCTATTGAATCCCTGGAATGCTGGATTCTAAGCTAATCTCAAGATATTTAGAAGCAGGAATACTATCAAAGAGAAAAGGCTTCAAAAGCTTCATAGGTTTTTGGGTTAATATGTTATGTTTAAGAGTTAACACACTGGCATTGCACTTAATGTAAAAAAATCGTTGTTGGTTATGTTGTCTGCATGCAGTGCCAAAACAAAAAATGAAAAACCATTAATAAAATTGTTTTGTGCCAAAACAAAAAATGAAAACAATAAATAAAATTGTTTTGGTTAATGATTTTGGATATATGTATCTTTTGTTAGAGCTTGAGATTTGTTCACTTCTAAAGGGGCTGAACACAGAAATTTAAAGTGTCATTTCGATTCAAAATAAAATGAGGAAGATATTGTTGTTTTTTTACTTTAAGGGCTAAATTGTTCTGTTCTGCCCACGGACAGTCGTAGTACATTTGAATTTCCGAGCCGGGTCAACCTTTCCGGTCCCAGTTTGTACTGTATTTCCCAGAAATTGGGTAAATAAGGCAGACGCTCAATAGGACTAGCCAGTGCAACAAGGTTGACGCGGTCAGACGAGTCAGACTTTAGATTGAAATTAGTTTTATAAAAGGGTGAGAGGTGCGTGTGCCACAAATATTATGTGTTACAGAGAAACCACAATTTTAAATAGCCTTTTTAAGCAAGAAAAATAATGATCATGCGTTCATCACTGATCAAGAAAGGTTTAAAGGGTCCCACGTTTCCATTCCCTAAACCCTCAATTATGAATACATGTTTAAAAACAAACAAAAGAAAAAATATAGTCCAATTACCTTAGTATCCTCCAGTGTATTTTCTCTCTTTTCCTTTCTGATCTTCTCAGCTTCCTCTAACCTCAACCTTTCTAGTGCAACTTCACGTTCCCGACTTATCTTAGCAAGCTCTAACTTGACTTTTTCCTCTTTCAGGATTCTTTCGTTTTCCATCTCCTTTACTTGAAGCTCGTGCTCTTTCTTTTCCTTCTCCATTCGGGCAGCTTCAAGCTTCTCGTTTTTATCCTGTTCCATTTTCATTCTTTCTCTATCAAGGGACAGTCTGGCTTTTCTTTCTTCTTCTGCATTTGCAATCTTCTCTGTTTCTTTTCTTTCCTGCTTGTCCTCTCTTTCTTTTCTTTCTAGTCGGTCCTCGCGTCGTTCCTGATACTCTTGTCGGATTTGTTCATGAGATTGACCTCCTCCCATTTCTGAATTTCTGAAATTAATCCAAAAACCGTAAATAAATTGATGATTCATTGACAAAGTGCTTGTCATGAATTAGTTTTGTCATTAAGGAAATTCCCCCCTCCCTCTTTTTAAAAACTCAAATATTCTAATCCCTAAATCTTTGCAGTTGGTGTAAACCTTTGATATTTCAAACTTTTTACCAAAATAATTCAAAGTTAGAATACAGTTCGGAACTTTTTTACATTAAATGTTTACAATAGCCTTAGCCTTGAGAATTCAGAAAGATAAAAAATATTTTTTTTAACTAACCATAAAAGAATACAATTTCTACAATAACTTTTTTGGTTTTATTATTCCTTACTCTTGTAATAATGATATTCGCCAATCTTTCTGAGCATTCTCTTCAGAGGGGGGGGGGCGCGTCCCCTGCCCTCTCTGGTTCAAGGAGTTCAAGGGGTTACGGCCTCTGAAAATGTTTTACTTCATGTTCCCGCTCAGACAATGGGTTCTAGGCAAGTTCTAGGGTACTGCTGTGAATCTCTCAAAGGTCACATAAAATTACACTTAAAGTCCCTTGAAGGGGTTAACCGAGTTAACCCTTTCAGCGCGAGTATACACATAAGAGGGGGGGGGGGGTACAGATATCACCCTAAAAAAATGTATTATTCTCATTAGAAGATTAATTAAACATCTAAAAACAAATGGGTGTGTCAGGGTGTCATGGTGTCAGTTCGTCAGATACGGCTGTAAATATAAAGAACTATAAACTTACCAAATTATAACTTAATATTCTATAAATTGTAAACATTTCAATTTGAATAAATAACCGTCTTGGAAGATCTAAATTGTCATCTACAAAGACGTTGCTATTATAATTAATTATAATAATGCATTGTAGCTTTTGATTACTATCTGTTAACGGTGAAATACCGTCTAGAATAACATTCAAGACTGAAGTTCAGTCACACTCACTGAACTCAAATTTCAGTCTGCCATGTTCAGGGCTGCCAGATATTCATTTCACGGAAAAAGCCATTTAGATTTTTTAAAAGAGTCAATGTCATGTCATTTCATGTTCTTATTTGGTGATTTATTTACTAAAAAGGAAAAGTAAGAACGGGTTTTAAACAAATTAAAAGTAGAAATTGGGATGAATATGTATGTATGCAGTAGTTTTAACAAGCTTTTCCGAATTTCCACTATTTTTTTTGCTGAAATTAAATATTTTTCACCAATTTAAATGGTAATAAAATATAAGAATTTTCAATTTTTTCCAAAGAGAGATTTTGGTTTGGTTCAGAACTAGCTGGTAACCCTACAGCCAGCATTTTCAGTTCAAGTGCAGTGGTCGAAGATTGTTGGGCGAGGGAGGGGGTGCAGAGGCCCCATGATCCCCGCAAAAATGACCTCCGAGCCTCAGGATTTGCTGAGTTACCTCCAGGCCCCGCAAAACTGGTCTCCCAGCCTCAGTGACGTCACCAAGCCTCCCGCCATTCTGTCTCCACACCCCGCATTTTGGTCTCCGCTTGTTGTTTTTATTTTTTGTTTAAATTTATTGGCTTAACCAAACAAATATCAAAATATATCTCTTCATAGTAGACCCAGTCATAGTTTAAAGAATCGGTTAATCAACAATTTTGACATGTTAATTCATTCAATTGATATGAAGTTGTTTTTCTGTTAAAGTTTACAATTAAGATGGAATGAGTAAAAGACGACCTTTATAAACGAATTATCTAATATTTTGAAGGCATCATGATTTTAAGATTTTATTAACTCTGGATTCCTTAGCATTACATTTTATCATAACAATTAATGAGGATCTGTCCTATAATATACGAGTTTTTGCGTCCCCCCCCCCCCCCCTCTGTATATCAATTTTTTCAATCAAATAAATGAATTCTCTTGCTAAAAGAAAAACTATTTAGAATCAAATTTAACTTATTAAAACTTAACAAGATATGACATGAAGAAGCCCTAACCTGTTAGTATAGCATATAATAGATATTCAGATTATTTTAATTCTTTGTTTTAATTTTAAAAAAAATAGTTCTTCAATATTTTCTAAAGCATAAGATAAAATCACAAATACAAGGATTTCACAAAAACTACCTTTTTTTTGTAAATAGGGTTTCCATTCGCAAAACATTTGCGCAATTTTTGCGGAACGAAACGCAATATTTTTCTTTCTTTGCGCATCAATTTTGCGCGAAAAAACAACAATTTGCGCAATCATTCGCAAAAGTCATTTCGCGCAAAATTGCCCTATTCCGCTTTTGCGAAACTCAAGTTTTGCGCAATTCCGTAACAAGAGTTTTGCGCAAATCCGCAATTTCGTAAAAATCAAACGGTTGGTGACGGTGTGTGTTTCTTAGAATTCAATTCTGGAAAAATCTTGTTTTGGAATGTCTTCCTATTGGTCACTTTTACATAATTGACCAATGACAATTAAGAAGAGTTCAAATCTCACAATTTTCTCGACAATTTTAGTTTTGGACATGCATATTTCCTAAAAGTGGATTCTTCAGGCATTGGTTACAGTCTTGCATTATAATACAATTCATACTCATGATTAAGCAAAGCTTTTAAGGCCGGGTCACTTGAAATTATTCAATAGGCTTAAAATATTGCCAAGTTTCACACTCTCTAATTTCTATTTTATTAATTTTGGTCCCTTAATTTAAACTTTTTGTAACTGGAAGTATAATCGTTATCATACTCGTATGTTAATATTTTTTTTGTATATGGAATAATCTTCAATTGTTTAATCCTAAGCTTAGAATATCAATTTTTGACAATGTGCCTAAAAAGTTACATTTTGCGTAAAACTTGCGGTTTTGCGCAAAAACTTGCGGTTTTGCGCAAATTGCGCAAAAAAAATTGCGCAAAACTAAAATTTCGTTTCATGCGCAACTTTCGCAAAAAATATTTCCGGTTTTGCGCAAATTGCGCAAAATAAATAGCGCAAAACCGCGCAAAACTCATTGCGTTTCATGCGCAAAAATAGCGCAAAAGTTCGCAAAAATAAAATTTGCGCGGAAATAGCGCAAATTTTGCGCAAAAGATTTAGCCATTTCGTGGAAACCCTATTTGTAAATTGCCGCTGATATTGTTTGATTCATATATGAGACCCCTCTAAAATGATATAAAATTTTTCTATCTTTATACAAAGCTGCAATAGTTCTTCACAATTTAAGGAATTTGTGAAATTTAGAAAAACAAAATACAAGCCTTTAATCTCAATTAAAATTCACTTTTTAATACAAAATGTTAATGTATCACTCTGAACTATTTCATCATATTGAGAATTTTTTAAAAAAAGGTTCTTGGTGGAAATAAAAGCCAAATATTTTTTTATTGGAGCCAAAATGCGGGGCGTGGAGACAGAATGGCGGAAAGCTTGGTGACGTCACAGAGGCTGGGAGACCAGTTTTGCGGGGCCTGGAGGTAATTCTGCAAATCCTGAGGCTTGGAGGTAATTTTTGCGGGGATCATGGCGCCTCTGCACCCCCTCTCTCGTTGGGCATTTGCCATTTTATGTTGCGCTCACATGCCCTGTAAAATTCCAAAACAGAGAGAGGGGGATTATATTTTATAGATCCAGAAATAAGTATTTATTTAGGGTTAGGTTAGGTTAAGACACTTTCTGGGCCGAGCGCTGAGGCTAGGATAGGCTAGGGGGCCGAGCGCTGCGGCCACGGGTTAGGTTAAGTTATGACACTTTCTGGGCCAAGCGCTGGGGCTAGGACAGGCTAGGGGGCCAACCGCTGCGGCCACATGTCTTACATTTAAGACCTCATACCAGCTGCCAGTCTCTATGCAGGCATCCCACAGATATTATTTTTCTGGATCTACAAAATTCAATCCCCCTCTCTTTATTTTGGAATTTTACGGGGCATGTGCGAGCAACATCAAATGGCAAATGCAGAATGTTGTGTGAGTGTGACTCATATGCTATATTTCATCGGAACTATAGGTTTCAAGATGAGTTCTAAGAGGGGGGGAACCCCCGGACGCCATGAGCCTCTGCTATGCAGACACAAGCCTCCCAGATTTGCGAGGGGGACCGAGCCTCCACTCTGCAGACCAAGCCTCGGCTATGCAGACAGTGCCTCCATTATGCAGTAAACAAGCCTCCAGATTTTTTAAATCTTGGTTTAAATGTGTAAAAAAATACTAAAGATTAGAGTTATTTTTTTATTGTCATGATTAGAAACATAAAAGGACTCTTAAAGTGGTTTATAACATTAAAACTAAAACTTTAAACATTTCTTATGCAGAAAGAAAGATATTTGGAGAAATATTTCTGGAGTAAACTTGTTTGTTTTGTTGTAATTGTTGGTTTAAACAATACCTTTTTTCAATTTATTTTCAGATTTGTTTGGTCAACAAAAACTGAGAATCAAGGCACAGTTCATTTTAGCCGAATCTTAGATCCAATTCGCCACTTTAATGACTGCATTTCATGATTGGCGTCAAGATACAAAAAAGGTCGGGCTGCCTGTTTACTAAAAATTATCTCATCGCGCCCAAAGTAATATCAATCTCCATTTAAAAGATATTTTCAAAAAACCTTAATACAGTGTTTAGATTTTTGTATTCGCCAACTCGAGTTCAACATCTACAACATAACTAATTATATGCATGGAAAGAACATAAAATTTTGAAAAATTAGTCTCATCACACCAAATACTTCATTTAGTCCACTAATAATGGGTTAAAGTTTCCTCTCTATATAAGGAGTTTAAAACAACATTCAGAGGAAAATGCCGCAAACATTCTTAAAGCGAAACTTGAAACTAAAAAACATAATATATTTCTAGCACTTAGTGTGGCATTTTTATTGATTTATTTTCGAAACTAAGGAGCAATAAAGAAAGCTTTAACAATATTGTACACCATAGGGCCATTAAAAGAGGTCAATATGGTCTTATTTCTAAGAAATAAACGATTTAATTTTATGCTTTATTGGGCTGATTACTATTTGAGGTGGTGGAGATTACCAATTGAGGAGCGCGCTTGCCGCAAAACAGATTTGGGTGGTGGTGATTACTATTTGAGGAACTCTGGACTCCCTCCCTCCCTGGACAAATTCAGCTGAATACGCCCCTGATTTGCATAATGTAGCAAAAAAATTGACTTTTAGTTTCAATTTTTCCTTTATAACTAAAGGGATAATGATGTCAGTCATACATTTCACCTGTACAGGTTGCTATCTAATATCTTCCCAGCCACCAAGCCACCAAGGTTTTTTAGATAGACTATATATCCCAAATAAAAACAAAAGTGAGGAATTTCCCCAGATTCTCCAACCGTGTTGACTTTCCTTGAAGAATTTCCGAGGAATTTCTCGAGAGTCATTTGCTGTAACTGATTCCTCGGAAATTCTTGAGAAATTCCTAGAATTGGTCCCCAAGATGAGAGATTTTAATGGTATCACAGTTTTGAGATTCAGTTTCGAGAAATTCCACTGCCCTAACTAAATCTTTTTTTCTGTGCATCTTTTTAAAAAATGTTTGTAAAATTTTTTTTATTTTTTTTATTTTTTCTTGACAATTTAGTTGTCTGAATAAACAAAATACATGACAACTTCAGTAAGATCAAAAACGACTATAACATTCTGACTTAAGAAGATGGTTATACTTCTAAAAAGTTGGAGGGGCAATATAGTTGTTAAGATACTCACTACTATTGGGCCTAAGTCCTGGTTAGTGAATTTACTCAGGAATATGCTGAGTATATTTCAAGATATTCCTGAGGAACTCCACGAATTTTGTCGACATTTTCTCCGGGTTTTCTGCAGAATTGGTAACAAGATTGGTTACAAGAAATTCCTTGGATAGAAAATTTCCTCGGAATGGGTTGCAAGAAATTCCTCTGAATGGGTTGCAAGAAATTCCTCGGACCCATTCCTCGAAATGGGTTACGAGAAATTCCTCAGAATAGCTGTCGACATTTTTGCCAGAATTTCCTGAGAAAGATTCCTGGGATTTCCGCGGATTTTCCGCAAAATTTTACTTGGGTCCTGGTTAGTGAATTTATTTAGGAATATGCTGAGAATATTTTAAGATATTCCTGAGGAACTCTTGAGAAAATCTTGGGAATAGTTCCCAGGAATTGGTTTTGAAGAACTTTTCACTGGAAATTCTCAATAATTTCCCACAAACTTTGTCGACATTTTCTCCGGGGTTTTCTGCTGAATTGGTAACAAGAAATTCCCCGGAATTTGTTACAAGAAATTCCTTGGAAAGAAATAATAAGAATTTCCTCAGAATGAGTTAAAAGAATTTTTTTGTACCTGGTTCCTCGGAATGAGTTACGAGAAATTCCTTGGAATAGCTGTCGACATTTTCACCGGATTTTCCAGTAAAAGATTCCTGGGAATTTCCGCGGATTCCCAGAAAAGATTCCTGGAAAGTTCCGCGGATTTTCCGCAAAATTTTTCCTTGGGATACATTCTCAAACCAGTTTTCTAATCAAGTGCCTAAAATACAAAAAGTCTTAATTTCATTTCATTCCATTAACCCTAGTCAAATGCCAATTACCCCAAAGAAGAAAAGCCATGTAAGCACCTGGTCAATATGATGTAAGAAGAGAAATAGGACATATATTGCATCAGAAGACACAACAACCACAGCATTGGACACTGTGGAATCATTATACCCTAGTCTGCAATTGAAGGTAGTAAAAGACCATTTTGTTTTCATATTTGGATTTGATTTAATTTGATCATTGAACCGCTGTTTTGTAATCTTTCTTTTTTATTACAAACTATAGCTCAAGTGCCAGGCGTTGCCCGTGGAATTTAAAAACCGAATTAAAGCAAAAAAACTTATAATTTATTTAGCTTATGTCATCCCTAAGGGTATCCATGAGTTTCCTTACTAAAATTCAGCCCATTTAATTCAGCCGTTTGGCTGCAGCCATAGCAAACATATAAATGAACAAATTGAGCTTTTTGACATAGATTACAATTGTACTCCTACATTTTTTCACAACAGAAACTTTTACAAGTCATAATTATTTTCTGGACCTTTGTCCTTTTCCATCTCATAGATTTTAAGTTTAAGTCAGGTTTTTCATTTTCAAAAATGTCTTTAACTATATCATAGTTTAAATACTAATTATTACTAACATAACAGCATAATAAAGTCGATTTTTTAGAAACAATGTTTTTTTCTGTTAGTTCTGTTTAAACAATGAGATAAAGTATAAGTACAATGCAAGGTATTTGGACTGTATGTGTACCTTTAAGGTATCTTATAATCTTATAATACTTATGCCTGATATCCAAGAAGCCAAATGTTTCGAATTTACAGTTCAAAAAAATTTCGCCCNAAGAATTCTATGGGGGAGGGTAAGTGACCCCAAACCCCCCACCCCATATTCATGCCACTGTGTCATGGCCTAACTTCATGAATAATAACAAAACTGAATTTATAGAAAATTATTTCAAATGAATTCGAGGAATTCGAGTTGCTGATTTGTGCAGGAATATGTCGTCATTGTAAGTAGTTCAAATGAACAACCGTATAAACGAACAATAGTTCATGTGAACAATAAGTTCAAACCGGAGTAGTTCAAACATGTATCCACCGAATCCACCCCCTATTTATCGCTACTGTTTCTGAACAGAATAACTGAACCTAATATGATTAAACTATAAAGTGTAGTTCGCCTCATTGTCCGCTAGGTGGCTCTAGTGTAGTAGGTGGGGCTTCCCGCTTCAGCTGATTATCTTATATCTATCTATCTATCTATCTAAGCAAGCGGGGGAGTGACGAATCAGGCAGATTTCAGAATTCAGGACTAGGTAGGCAGGCAGGCCGCAGACAGTTAACCAGGGAGTGTGATTTACTCCTATTAAGCCGGGAGGTGTTATTTAAAAAAGTTTTTTCTAGAATTTGAATTTTTTTCTGTAGAAATGACGCGCTGTGCTTAAAACGAGAAACTCTTTTTTATTTATATTTATATAGTTACATCCTCACAATTATACTAGGTGCATTTTACATTTAAACCGTTAACTAGCTGTTTCTTTTGTCTATTTGCTCTCATCATTCGATTTTGAATTTATGAATTAATTTCTAAATTTCTTAAGTATGCAAACAAATTGGTAGTATCAGAGAGAGAACTATTTTTGGGTAATTTCTTAGAGAACGATTTTTGTAATCCCCCCCCCCCCCTCCTTTCAATGCGGGGGGGGTCCATATAGTGTTCTCTAATAAAATTAACCAATGTGTTCAAACACTGAGCTTCTAATTTTTAAATTTTATATTGTTCTTCGTTATTAACCCTATCTCTGCTGGGGTACTTGAAAACCAGGATATGCTGGGGGGGGGGTCAATTTGACCCCCCCCTCCCTCTAAATCCCATGTTTGATGTCCAAATATGACCAATGATACATCATTGGAAAGCTCTTGTGCTCTACTTTTAGAATCTGCAAAAATTAAAGTTGTTATTGCAAAATCCAGTTTTAAAGTAAAAATGTTTGCAAAAAATAAATTTGTCCCAAAAAATGAAAAATTATAAATTTTTGAAAAGCCCTTGACCATACCATTTCAAATATGCAAAAGTTATTACAAAATTTTAAGTAACCTAAATTTTAATCAAGAAAAACTAAAAATGGGCAAATTTCTTTCGACAGCTTGTTTGCAAAATATTTGCAATTTTTTTTCGCAAAACTTGTGCAATTCGTTTCCTTATGTCAAAGGCTTTCCAAAAAGCTAAATTTTATCAAAATCTGACAAGTGGAAGTGGGACAAAACAATGATTTAGTTTGTTAGAGGAAAAAGCAGTCATTCACGCAGTATGCCTGAGGACTCAGGCAGTTAGTATTAAAGCCCGGTTTTAGGCCTAATGGGAGGGCATTGGGTATGTAGGAAAAGTCAGAAAATTTCAATAGCCTCAGACCAATACTTTTTGAGTTATTCAAAAAAACTACAAGGGGGGGGGGGTTAACTATGAAAAAAAAAACAGGCAATCCAAACAATAATATCTTTATTCCAGAATTATTGCGAGCTAGTTCCTATTGCTGGATCTTTGTGCTATATTTTTTATTTCTTTTAATCACAGAATTATTGCGAGCTAGTTCCTATTGCTGGATCTTTGTGCTATATTTTTTAATTCTTTTTATTTCAGAATTACTGCGAGCTAGTTCCTATTGCTAACTCTTTTTGCTATAATTTAAATTCTTTTAATTACAGAATTATTGCGAGCTAGTTGCTATAGCTAGCTTCCATAATGGAGCAACCTATTCCGGTGAAAGAGGTTAAAATCCTCGAAACCGCCGAGGATATTCAGGAGAGAAGAGAACAAGTACTTAATAGGTTAGTAGAACTATTTCAGATTATGTAACAGTCATAACCAGAATGATCCGGAATCAATTGACGATAAATCAGACGATTTTACAATAATATGATCAATGTAACGATTATTAAAAAATAGCCCTAGTCCTCCCATTTCCAAAATGTAGTCTGCCTTTATCGTGCGTTCTAAATCACAGGAGATATCAATTAGAAAATTTTTGTTTTATTAAATAGAAACTAAATCTAACCCAAACTCTTTTTATCTCGTGCAATTTTTAACTCACTGAAAAGGCAGACTACGTTGTTTTGGTAATAGCTATTTTGTGATTATCTTTTCACCACTCATATATTTAAGTATATTTGTAAAATTAGATTCACAAATGAACTTTTTCAAAGATTATTGAAAAGTTTACTGATTTATTGTCAATTAATTCCTAGTCTTTCTGGTTATGACTGTATGACTGTAAAAAATCAGACTCTCAAACCCATATTAAGAACATTCCTATGATTCTCCCGAGTTCCTCAATCAAAATTTGAGACAACAGAGGATTGCTAAATACTTAATATATATAGATTATGAAATATTGATTTTCCTTGTCAATCAATCCCCTCCCCCCATCCAGCCAAAGCTTTTGCATGACAATTTGGAACGATTAAAGGAAAGCTAGCCTAGCAAGTTAGCTTTTTTAATCTTGGGATCTAGCATTGATCTCCAACTTTTGCAGAAATAGATATTCGGTAATGGCAAATGGTTAAATTTGATTCAGGGATCAAGCTTTTATCCTCAATTTTTCATGCTAGACTAGACATACAGCTGAGCTACTCCAGGGCCAATGCAGCTTGAAAAGATGTGCTTTATAAGCATAAATACAACAACTTCAAATTATCTTTCAAATAATCTGAAGAAAAAAACTTCATACATTTTGCCTGAAAGAACTCTGGGTTCAAAAACGTTAAAGAATTAAATTTTAAAATTGAAATATTTTAGGTATCATGAATTTAAGGTGTCAGCTCGCCAGAGGCGTGAGAAACTCGAGGACAGCAGAAGGCAAGTTTTTTTTATTTTCATTTTTATGAAGAAAAAGCTTAATATTGAAATTCGAAGATTTGAGAAAAAATAAAACATTGTTGCACCAATTTAGCGGAAAACATATTTTACATAATTTTTGAGCTGGGGGGGGGGAGATAGGGGAATGTCCCCAGTCCAGCTTTTCAAGGCCAGCTCATTAAAAAAGGACCTGTAATTTTAATAGAAAGGGTACGTGCTAATAAGGTTTAAAAATAATATAAAAAGCTTGCCAAATTATAAAATATTTATTTTCATAATTGTGACAAAAATTAATATTTGAAAAATAAATAAATTTAAGATTATAACTTAAATTTTAAAAAAAGTTATCGACTATTTTTTATTTTTTTTTTTAAACCCTGACCAGCCCTTTTGTTGCTGCAAAATATGTGTTTAATTACGAAGTTAAAAAAGTGAAGAATTGTTTGAGCGCTCTCGTGTAAGTGGCCTAGAGTAAGTTGTTTTTAAGTTAAAGAGAAAAAAACCACAGGGGGGGGCATAGGGAACTCAGTAGTTAAAATAATTTCTTTATTACAACTATTATAGAAACATTTAATTCTTGTTCTATTTGAGAATCTGACTGAAATATACGAGGCGTTAAATATATTTTAATACGATTATTTTCACCACGAGCCATGCTTCTGTTAAATAATAATAAAATAAAAACGAACACGACATAATGGAGCCTTTGAGCTAACGCGACGGGGGGGG